TTTAGGGCATATAAATAAGTTGATTACCATCTACTGTCATTGAAATATAACCCGTTTTGCATATTAATGCGGTATGTGGCATGATTTCTTACTTGGGTAAATAGTTCCTTGCTTGCCCTGCCTAGACCTCCATTTATGCCCTAGACGAGGCGTTTGGCCACTGCCTAGCGCCTAGGCGTGCCTAAGCGCCTCCTAGGCACTGCCTTTTCCAACAGAGGGAGTGAGGTATATGTCATATATGTAATAATCAATCAAACACTAATAGCATGAAAGGTCTGAGAAAGATCAACTAAATTCTTTAGGGCCTCCAAATTTTTAACCAAGTTCTCCTTGCTAGGCAAGCTTGGCAACTCATAGTGTTCCCTAACAGTCTATGTGCAAGGGTTATGAAGGCTAAATGTTATCCCGGGGTTGATTTGCTACACAGCATTTATTCGAAATGCATAAGGCATCATGAATGGTTTGGAGTTGTTGAAGAAAGGGGTGTATGATGTATTTGTAACGGCCATAGTATTCGCACATGGAGGGACAATTGGATCCTGAGAGGAAATCTCAAAATTAACATAAACCCAACAAAAACACATATTCGATTGGTGATACCCATACTTGGAAGGAGGACAAGGTCAAACAATTTTTCATGCCTCAAGATGAACAAGGTATCCTTGGCATTCGACTTCCAAACTATGATGAGAAAGACTACATGTCTACATTGCTTGGCAACAAAAGAAAGGCTTGTTCACAGTGTGAAGCACATCCAAATTAGCTAGATGCAAAGCAACCGGAAACAGTTGGTCCGAGCAACATGAAGATATATGAAATTCCATTTGTACAATAACCAAAGCATTTTTCAGGTACTTTCGACCGTGATTTATCTCCATATATTAATGATCCCACATCATCTAAAAAGTAATTGCTCCACCTCAAGGAGCTCACAACCAACTCCTAGAATAAAGATGAGCTACTATCAAACAGGCGATCTATCTAACAAGGGATGAAGGATTGAAGGATCTGTGCCCATAACTGAAATCTAGCATGTGTCCCGAGCACATTTCAACCAACTCTCCTGACTCCTGACTGACAATTAGCATGATGTGATGGCGATTATGAGCACGTGAGATCACTAGAAGAGCGAAACTAGTAGCCAGAACCCGGAGAAAGAAGATGCAGCTTACAGCAACCACGTGATGAACGCCAGGACGACCGAAAGCGTGAACTGCCGGCAGGCCAGCCGCGAGTATGCCGCGCAGAAGTTCACATCCCGCATGAAGAAAATTGTCAGGCTCGCGGAAGCACAGGCTGCTGAGAACATGAAAATTGCCACGACCTGCAATGCATTCACAATTGATGTGTTCACTCAAATAGATTTTTGCCTTGGCTCAGTGGTTAGGCATGCGGTTGTACAGCCTAACGACCCGAGTTCAATTCCTAGAATTGACAGGTGATGCACAGGGGTTTTTCTCATTTATTGAGGATCAAGTTTGGTGTGTATGATGGAACCACTCATCAAAAAATATCTTGATGCTTATTTAAAAAATTCTGAGGACCATGTTTATCTTGGTACTCATACTAAAATGACCGTATGCATCCCTAGTTGGTGCAGAGGCCGGGGAAGTGAAATTCTCCCCCATTTTAACAGGATTTTCTTACTCGGTTCCCTCGAATACCCTTCCCTCTCCCCTCCTGAGTCGCCCCCCGCGTGGGCGGCCGGGAGGCCCCCAGACCCCGTCGGCCGGCCCTCCCCCACTCCTCCTCCTCCTCCCTCGCCGCCACCCAAGGGCGCGGCTAGGCGAAACCTGGTCGTCGCCGGCAGCGGCGGGGACTCGGGCCCTCTCGCTCGCGTGGGGCTGGCGCGGGCCGGCACCCCCGGGCCGGAGCGTGTCGGCGGGCCGGACGCCACGACGGGTGGTGGCGGCGCCTCGGCGACTTCGCTCCCGCGCGGCAGGAGGCCTCGCGATCTGGTGTGTCGCGGTCGCCAGGGACGGCGACGGCGTGACCGGATCGGTTCGCGGCGGCACGGCCGGATCTATGCCCGAGCGTGGGCCTTGACCGTTGGTCTGCCGTCGGCATGGTGGCGGGTGCGACTCGTCGGCAGCTGGGCAGATCCGCCGGGATTCTACCTTTGTCTGATCCTTGACAGCGCGGACATCTCCGGGGGAAACCCTAGATCTCCTTTGGATCGAGTGATGACTGCGATTTTGCGTCGTAGTCCCTCTTTAGGGCATCGTTTTGGAGTTTACTCCGGTTGAAGGGACCAACGCCGTCGGTGGCACACGTCTGGTGGAGCAACTGCCGATGAAAATCACGCCGACTACGGTCATGGCGGACGATGACGGCGTCTTAGATGTCGTTTCCTTGTCGAGGCATCGTCGTTGCAGTCTGCGTCATCAGGCTCGGGATGCTCCGGGGGAAACCCTAGATCTGGGTCTTCCGGATCGGACGATGATGGCGTTTTATCGATTTCCCTCATGGGGGCATCGTTTTGGAGCAAGTGATGGCTAGGGGGATGGTGGAGCGGTACCTCATCTCACACATTGATGGCGGCGGAGATCAGCGGCATGGCGCTGTGGAGGCTCGGCGTCCAATGCGCGGAGATGGACTCGCGCAGGAGGAGGTAGCTGTCTGGCGTCATGGTGACGTCGATGGAAGAGTGGCCAGACAAGGTAGAAGCCTCAATATAATCTGAAGACGGACCTGTGGAAGATGGCGGCGACGACACACGAGTGCGTCTGACCGGATTGTGCCCTAGACCCGGTATGTGGCTCGGCTGGGGCTTCTGGCTTTTGATATTAGGCTTAGGTGAGTTGTTTGGGTAGTGGCCCAGCTAGCATCCCTTCATCATATGGATAGGAGTAGCGGCATATGTTGTCAAGATGGTGGATTCAGGTATATTGTTTGTAATACTTTGTTAGGTCGTCGAGAATAATCAATAAAATGGCAGTATGCATCTCCTAGATGTAGAGGCCGAGAGTCATCCTCCTTTTCTAAAAAAATAAAAAATAAAAAGATAGACCTTTGCTAGCTTAAGATTACAAGAATTGCTCGAGTAAAAAAATGATTTCAGAGGGTATTTGGACTGTGCTTGTAAGATGTAACAACTTTCGCTGAGAGAAATGACAGCCATTAGTTCTAACAGGAAACAAGAACCTTCGATAAACTATACCGTTGGTTAACCAAAAAGTCAGGCAAAACATATTGATTGTTAAAATTTCTTGCTCAAATGGACAATTTGGCAAAGTTTAATGGAGTGCTTGGCAAACAAATCTCTTTAAGGCTACCTTATTCTCATGGAGGGAGGCAGAACAAGAACTTGGCCAATAGAAAAGCATGAGTTGCACTTAACCTGAATTTCTTTTTTTCGTAAGAACTACTGATAAAAAAATTTGGCTTCAATTGCTTCAGTGCATGCCTTCAGTTAATTCATACGTAGCTCAGGGACAATTGAAGAGACAAATTGAACGACTTACCCAGTCAACCATAACAATGATCAATAGATTATCCCGGGTGTGAAGGTCCTTTTTATTCCTTAGAGCAAAGATATCCTTATAAGCAAGGCCCAAACTCCACATAAGCTGCAGGATCAACGCTAGATTCATGTAGCTGAAATAAAGGGAGACAAGATTACACTCGTTAGATGATGTCAACAAATCATACTTGAGTTCATAGTCTCAATGACATGAACTTGATGTGACAAATATAAATCATTGGGGCGCACCAGCACACTTGTTGACACATAAAACCTATCTTTTAACCATTCTAATAAAATATTATCATGGGAGGAAAAACTGCAGGTTAAATGAAAAACATATGGCTTCCTTAGACATACACTCACAAAAGCACATACACAAAGAAAACATGTCCAATATTCCGGTTCCATTTTTGAACAAGTATGGTGTTTGAGCTTGGAACTAATCCCGGCCCCTCAACATCCCAGGTCCGAGTTCCCCATGACTAGACACTTCTTCTTTGATACAACCCCTAAACACATTGACGGACCAGGTCAGTAAAATGGGCCGGCCCAGCAACTATCTATTTCTAGTGGTTGTATAGTGAAAGAGCGAAAAATCCTAAAAATAAATTGTCACATCAGGAATCGAGCCCATGACTAGACACTTCTTCTTTGGTACAACCCCCTAAACACATTGACGGACCAGGTCAGTATGATGTTTGAGCTTGGAACTAATCCCGGCCCCTCAACATCCCAGGTCCGAGTTCCCCATGACTAGACACTTCTTCTTTGATACAACCCCGAAACACATTGACGGACCAGGTCAGTAAAATGGGCCGGCCCAGCAACTATCTATTTCTAGTGGTTGTATAGTGAAAGAGCGAAAAATCCTAAAAATAAATTGTCACATCAGGAATCGAGCCCATGACTAGACACTTTTTTTTTGGTACAACCCCCCTAAACACATTGACAGACCAGGTCAGTAAACTGGGCCGGCCCAGCAACGATCTATTTCTAGTGGTTTTATAGTGAAAGAGTGAAAAATCCTAAAAGTAAATTGCCACATCAGGAATCGAGCAAGGACCTCCCGCAAACACACAAACGAGCAGAACCACTAGGATCAGCGAGCTTTCTTGGCTAACTAACTGCGCAGAGATTTAAGAACATGACCAGCGACATATTTGAACTTTTTTCTGGAAATTTGATTGTGACTTTTTTAAATGCGAATATTTTTCGCAATTGTAAATAAAATTTTGAAAGTGCATACAAATTTTTAAACTCCGATTTTTCTAAAAAAAATGGTACTTTATAATTTCGAATTTCTTTTGAAAACACAAACAATTTGAAAATCTAAAGTATTTTGAAACATGACCATTTTGTAAATTTTTTTGAAAAAATTGAATAAAAAAATACATAGGTTGAACATTTTTAAAAATTTGTGACATTGAAGTACAAGAAGGCGCTGTAGTTGGAGTAGCCGAAGCCGGAGACCATGGAGAAGGTGGACGCGGCGGCGCAGACGGACTGCGACAGCCGCAGCGCCATGCCCCTCCATGTCCCCGGGCTCCCCACTACGCGCTTCATCCCCTGCTCTGCTCTGATCTGCTTGCTGCGGAGAGGTGAGGCGGAGAAGCCGATGGAGTCCTGGCTAGCTCGCTAGGCAGGATCTGTGGCGCTTGTTGCGTGCGCTTAGCTCGTGTGTGGGGTGGGAAAGGAAAGGTGATGGCTGTGAGCGGGAGGTGGCTGTAGCACTTGTTATGTGCGCTTGGCTTGGTGTTGGGGGAGACGAGATGGGAAAGGTGATGGCAGAACAGGAACCAGGATGAGATGGTGGTGGGGTACCGCTGCCTGCCTGGTGTTTTTTGAGATGCAGAGTGAAATGCAAATGGAACGCAAGTAATAACTGAGCTGAGCATCCACCATGTGGTGTTGGGTACCTCTGCTAGCTATAGCATCAGGAAATTTCGTGGTAGCTTCCTTCCTTGACCACATCATCTTAGTATATGTGTGTCAAAACTATGAGGAAGCGTTAAACCCTTTGCTCGGGCCGCATTGTATTATATAGAAGGTATGCCGTGGCTTACAAGGAAGGGATCGATCGAGAGAAGAGATAGATCAATGCCCGGTTGGTTACAGAGAGGAATAACAGAAGAGGAGATAAGAGAAGATTACAAGTTTAAACTACTCGTATCTCTTTACAACTTATTCTAACATTCCCCCTCAATCTGAACCGAATAAACTTTACCAAGGTTAAGATTGTTCTTGAACTCATTCAATCTTCCTGTAGTAAGAGGTTTTGTAAAGCCATCAGCAAGTTGATCACCAGTTGGAATAAAACGAATATCAAGTAGCTTCCGAGCTGCTCTTTCTCTGACAAAGTGAAAATCAACTTCAATATGTTTGGTGCGTGCATGGAAAACAGGATTAGCTGAGAGATAGGTTGCACCAATATTATCACACCATAATCTCGCAGCTTGTGGAGCCTTGATCCCAAGCTCATATAGCAAAGTCTGTATCTACATTACCTCAGCTGTAGCATTAGCCAGTGCTTTATACTCAGCCTCTATACTTGATCTAGAGACAGTTGCCTGTTTTCTTGCACTCCATGACACAAGATTTGTTCCCAGAAATACATCAAAACCACCTGTGGACCTTCTGTCATCAGCACATCCTACCCAGTCTGCATCAGAGTATGCAGTAACAAGCATAGACAATGACTTGGTAATCTGAAGTCCAAGACCTTCTGAATATTTAAGATACATCAAAATCCTTTTTACTGCAGTCCAATGAGTTGTTCTAGGTGCATGCAAATATTGATATACCTTATTAATAGAATAAGAAATGTCAGGACGAGTAAGAGTCAAATATTGCAGAGCACCGACAACACTCCTGTACTTTGTTGAATCTTCTGGTCCAAGCACCTCTCCACTCTCAACCGTAAGTTTTTCTGAAGTTGAGATTGGTGTACTCACAGGTTTACAATTTTCCAATCCTACTCTCCTGAGTATGTCAGTGGTGTACTTTTCTTGTGTAAGAAGTATACCATTCTTTATTGGATTAATTTCTATACCAAGAAAATAATGTAGATCACCCAAGTCCTTGAGAGCAAACTCCAACTTCAGATCTTTAAGCAGACAAGTGGTAGCATGTGCACTGGAACTGGCCACAATTATATCATCAACATAGACAAGCACAAAAATAATGATATTATCTCTATGATAAAAGAACAACGAGGTATCTGCTTTAGATGGTGTGAAACCAAGTTGTTGTAGTTGCATATTCAACCTTGAGTACCAAGCTCTTGGGGCTTGTTTCAACCCATACAAAGCTTTATCCAACTTACAGACATAGTGTGGTACACTTCGGTCCTCATATTCTGGTGGTTGCCGCATGAACACTTCTTCCTCAAGAACATCATGAAGAAACGCGTTTTGAACATCTAGCTGGCGTAAACTCCATCCTCTAGAAACAGCAATAGACAGTACAAGCCGAATAGTAGCAGACTTAACAACAGGACTAAATGTATCTTCATAATCAATACCAAACCTCTGTTTGAAACCTTTAGCAACTAGTTTAGCCTTGTATCTGTCTATGCTTCCATCAGATTTTCTCTTTATCTTGTATACCCATTTACAATCAATGATATTGTGACCCTGCCTTGGTGGTACTAAATTCCATGTTTTATTTTTCATGAGTGCATCATATTCATGATCCATAGCTTCTTTCCAATCTTTATGGACAAGAGCATCATGCAAATTTGTTGGTTCACCAATATTACTAAGAAAATCACGTTTTACTTTATCATACCTGACCGTACCATCAGTGTATTCTTTTGCTTTGGTAATGCCTGATTGTGACCGAGTATGTCGCCGAGGAGCCGCTGGTGTTGTAGGCGCAGAAGATCCTGGTGCAGAAGATGCTGTGGGATCCTGCACAGAAGATCCCAGCTCCGGATCCAAGGGAGATTCACGCACAGAATCTGCAGAGGGGCCCGGCTCGTGATCCGAGGGCGATCCTGAGCGCACAGACCCTGCGGGTGCCCCGCTGTCGGCGGCGGTTGGCTCGATCCGCGGGCTCCCGGCTCGTGAGGCGCCGCGTGGAGACGCGGTGTCGCCCGCACGTGGGCTGGTGCGTGGAGTGGCGGGGTCCACCTGGTGGAGGCTGTCGGCCACAACCACGTCAGGACGAGACGGGCCCGCGTTGGCGTGCGCCTGATTGACTGCATGCCGATCGGCATTGGATCACGCGACGACAGGGACAGCGCTGACGCGCGGATCGGCACCGGATCATGCGCCGCTGCTGCCAGGTGAATCAGCTCCGTTTTCTGCACCATTTGTGTCCTGTTCTGCACACATAAAATGACGCCCCAACCTTGCACAAACATCATCAGAACCACTGTTTTGATCAGAATTTTGCACATAGTCAGTTTTATTTAATTCACCCCCGTGATCTGGGAGTAGTGCTATCTCAGTACGAAGAAGGGCTCTGGCGTTTGGATGAAGTTTAGCAAACGGAAAAAGAGTTTCATCAAAGACGACATCTCGAGAAATATAAATCCGTCCGGTTGCAACTTCTAGACATTTGTATCCTTTATGAAGATTGTTGTAGCCAATGAAGACACATTGAGTGGAACGAAGCTCAAGTTTATGACGATTGTAAGGACGGAGATTGGGATAGCAAGCACACCCAAAGATTTTGGGAGAGTTGTAATCGGGTTTTTGATGATATAACCGCTCCAATGGAGTGATGTTGCCAATAACTTTACTAGGGAGACGATTTATAAGATATGTGGCAGTAATGAACGCTTCATCCCAGTACTTGAGAGGCATAGATGCATGGGCAAGAAGAGATAACCAACTTCAACAATGTGACGATGTTTCCACTCAGCGGAGCCGTTTTGTTGATGAGCATGAGGACAAGACACATGGTGTTCAATGCCTATGCTACGGAAGAAAGAGTTGAGTTTTTCATACTCCCCTCCCCAGTCACTTTGGACTGTCAAGATTTTTTTTGTCAAAGTGTCGTTCAACAAGTTTTTGAAACTCTTGAAACACAGAAAAAACTTCCGATTTGTTCTTGAGTAAATAAATCCAGGTAAACTTGCTGAAGTCATTAATGAAACTAACATAATATTTCTTGCTGCCAAAGGAGTCTCTTGCATGACCCCATACATCACTGAAAATAAGCTCTAGAGGAGCATGAGATACACTATTCGACTTGGGATAAGGTAGTTGGTGACTCTTGGCACATTGACAAGCTTCACAAACGGACTCACTAATGGGACTATGTGACAACGAGAGATTGCCTTTATTAACTACTTGTTTAACAATGATCGAAGATGGATGTCCTAATCTTTGATGCCACCTTGCCAAAGAGGGCTTGATGACGGAGAAGACTTGACGATGCTTGCGACTAAGTGCTCCAGATGTGATGGGGTAGAGACCTCCAATGCATCTACCGTGATGTAGGAGTTCCCTCGTTGCCCGATCCTTTATAAAAAAGTAACGAGGGTGAGTTTCAAAGAAGATGTTATTATCATTGGCTAAACGAGACATGGATGCAAGGTTCTTGTCGGCTTGGGGGACATGAAGTACATCTTTTAACACTAGATCACGTTTAAGTGTAGGGGAATTAATAAAAGCTTGACCAATGTGCTGGATATCCATACCTCCACCGCTTGCGGTGTGAATCTGATCATTGCCATGGTACTGTTCACGGAGGGCGAGCTGTTCTAGTTCACTTGTGACATGGTCCATTGCACTAGAGTCAACGTACCAAACTCCTTCTCCTCCTTGTTCACGCATGGCGGCAGCAACATGGCGAGAGCCAGGCACAAAATTCTCATCGTACCTGTGCCAACACTCCATGACTTCATGGTCCGCCTTCTTGCAGAGTTGACACTGGGGATGAGCATGTGAGGAAGAGGGACGACGGCTATTGTTGGAGTTGAAGCCGCCACCCCCTGCCATGTTGTTGTTGTAGCCGCTGCTACCACCGTGGTGTTGTAGCCGCTGCTGTTGTTGGTGGTGTAGTCGTTGCTGCCGCGCCCGCGCCCACCGCTACACTGTCCCTGGTGACCGCGTCCGCGACCACGGCCACGAGACGCAGCGTTGGCGGAGGATTGACGAATGTTGGTGCCATGAAGGAGGCTGAGACGAGCGTCGAAGCTCAAAAGTTGGTTGTACAGCTCCTGAACGGTGATCGGTTCCACCCGGGCAGCAAGGGCGGAGACAACTGGATTGTAGTCCATGTCCAAGCCGGCGAGGATCTTCGACACAATCTCGGGATCGGAGAGCGCGGCGGCGGTGCAGGCTACTTCATCGGTAAGGGTTTTAATTTTTCCAAGATATTCGGCCATGGTCATGTTACCTTTTTGCAGATTCGTGAGCTCGATGCGAGTGTTGATGGCTTGAGCTTGACTTTGGGCAGCAAACATGGCGTGGATCGCTTGCCACACTTCGGCTGGTGTCGGGAGCGTCGCGACCTGTGCCAGAATCTCACGGGATAGGGATCCCATCAAGAATCCTTGGAGCTGCTGCTGTTGTGCGTACCAGAGGGATCGGGCGGAGTTGACAACCTGTTCG